TTAAGCCAAGCTAAAGGGTGCTAGTTTTGACATCCATAACCGCATAACGGCAATCAATTTGTAAAACCTTTTGAAAATATGAGAAGCAACAAGGGGGCATTTCTTCAAATTGTATGGTAAACCAATTTTTTTGTTAATGCCGTCATCGAAACAACGTCCAGAATAATTTTTTATTTCTTTATCGGTTGTAGAATCACATTTTTGCTAATTGAGCTCTAATTATTATGTCTATAATCAGCATTCGAAATGTTATGGATTATTGTGTAACTTTGCCAGTCTCGCAAAAATTGCAGAAACCTGAAACTCTTATTCGGATCTCAGCAAATATGTTACAAATCACGTTTCAGCTTGACGAAGCCATATTGTAACAGTATTCTTTTAACCTTTGCTATTCTTTCTTGCCAGACTTGTGAGGCTAAGAAGGGTTTAGAAAATATACCGTTTAAGGAAAGTAGGCGTCGGAAGAAAAACTCTTAGTGTGAGTCGTTGTTTCTTCATTAAACCAATAGAAGAAAGAAGTGCGACGTGTTGCTTAGATGTGAATTACCATACAGTCTCTTCTTCCACTCACGCCTACTTTATTCTTTGGAATCGTGGTGCAAAGGACACCATGGAACCGGAACTACCTATAGGCAGTTTGGGCGATGGTGTCTTCATCAGTGGAATACTTTGGGTTTGTTTTCTTCTTCTTTTTTTCTCTCTTTTTTTTTGGTTCTTTTTTAAAATTTTGAAACAGTTCCTTTGTGCTTGGATTATATACGCAGTATTATTAATTTATCTAAATTAGATGGTGTTTGCTCTTATAACAAAGCCATTGAATAACCTTGAGCATTACGTAAAATGATGTTTGATGATTCAGCCTAAAAGACAATGGGTTTGTAACTGTTAAAATCACGAAGCTAGACAAGACTGAGCATATTGGCGGTATTCCAGGGAACAATATTAGAAGGTTACGAGCTTTGTTCTTCAGTAGACACGTTTGACAGAAAGCAAAGTTTATTAAAATTAAATGTTGTGAAGTAAAATTAACCTAACCACATATAAGCCCCTCCACACTATAGTCAAGGACATACAACAATCTCCAAGCAATTCCTTTATGTAGCGCTCAGGAACTGGTCGCACACGACTGCCCGTATATCCCCATCCTCAAGGCTCACACCTCATTATAAACCCTTATTTGGTCAGCCTGGTTATTCTGGATTAAGACGTCAGACTACACAGGGGGGTACAGCTTTGCATAAAGACGAAGAAATCACTAGGACGGACAAAAGAGCAAGTCTCATTCTGGAACGCAAGTCTCGCCATAGGTTTACCTATGACATTTCACTCTCTACTCTTGAATTTTACTATACAGTGAACAATAACTTTCCTACCGAAAAGAATCAGAGCGTCAAAGCCCACCCAAAGCCCTGACCTTTGACAATTCTTTTTTTCCCAGAAATCGTGCGCCAATAATTTACATAGAAATGAGATTGCGGCTTCTATTCTCCGTCTCGTCCTGGGGCTATTCTTGACTACTGCTCGCCAACACAAGTTTTCTGTCTCCTTCGAAAACCATTGACCTCCAAATATAAGAAAAAAAACCGAGAAAAACTGTGAAGAATAAGTGAACTTTGATAAAGGAAAGCAATCGGGGAAAAAGAAACATGGTAAGAAAAAGAAAACCATGTGTCTAACATATGTCATTAATTCGCTGACTGTTCATTGGTTGTAAACAGAGAAACATTGTAATTGGATTCTCAAAGGTGAAATGTATTCTGGGAAAACAGTAAAAACAGAGGTAACAGTTTGAGTATTTTTGGAATATATATTTCGTTCTTTTCTCAGTTAACAAAATGCCCCTACGCTTTCACTCATTTTACTCTCTTACCCGCTCCACCGCCCTTCTACACTCACACCCACGTTTCTTTCCTACCCACACTACGCTTGCAACTGCTAATCTGAGTTTTCCCACAGAGCCACGTCGTGTACTCTCTCATCTACTCAGCCCTTGCCCCACCGTGTCGAGCTTGTACCCGTTCACTCTGGACCACACCCACCCACAGAGTAGAGGGGTTCTGCAACTGGTGTGAGGGTAAATTTGGTGTAAGGGTAGGGACGTATAATTTACCGAAGAGGAGAACCCAAGACAGTTCCAAAACGCCATTTCTCCAAACTGTTATCTCAGCTCTTGCAGTTCTTCAGTCTCGGGATCCATTTCACCCTCAAAAGTTCAGTCACAATTCATAAAACTTACCTGTTTTTATACCTTTCCTCCATTCGACTGTATCACTTTCTCCTCTCTCACGCTCACTATGCTTCACCCTAATCCTACTCTCAACTCTGTTCTACTAAAATCCCAGCTTCTCTCTGTTATCCCCACTTTCATTATATCCACATGTCACTGCCTCCCTACTTATTGCCCACCCACCTGGGCATCCTTTACATCCACCTTACGTTAACCTTAAGTCCCCACTTGTCCCCATAATCGCCCTTACTTCGTCCGATATAAATATTATAATAAATCCAACCTAACCGCTAATTAGCACCTCCACACTAAACCCACGGACAGACCACACGATCTCCACGCATTTCCTGTATGTAGCACTCAGGAGTAACATGTGTGAGTTTTTCGGACAACACTGTCCACATGACTGCTCACGCTAATGACCGCTGTCCATCGCAGCTTTCAGGTTGGGAAGGGGCACTCATAAACCTGTCCTGCTTATTGACGGGAGGGGTGAGGTATAGACAGTATGGCGTCCGTATGTCAAATGGTCAGCGATATGGGGCACTGTTTGGAGAAAACTGATTGAGGCAGTAACATCGTAGTTTGATGAGTTTTCTCTCGACATTTTAACTGACCCTCATTGTTGCTGCGGCTCTTGTTGTTGGTGTTGCTGTTGTTGCTGCTGTTGCTGTGGTTGCTCCAAATATTTGTGTGACCTTGACTTTGTTTCTGTTCCCCCGTTGTCAGCATCAAGGAATGAGAAAGGTCCGAGTTCATGAATACTTTTTCAGATGTCTTAAATAGTTGTATGCAACTACTATCTTTTAAAATTGTATAACTTGAAATATATTTCTGTAAAACATGCTATAACTTCACCGTAATCGCTAACAGGTATGCTCCAAAATCCAGGAGTCCAGTTGACACATCCAATGCATTATTTAAGAGGAACTTGATGTCAAAAATATACAAATTAGAAAATCTGATAAAAGCCTGGGAGTTACATCATATGCAAAACCTGGGAGTTTAGACAAAACCATCAATCAAAACACACCTTCTAATCGTAAGTCGTAAACGAGAGCAAGAGACTTTCGTTCTCGTATTATGTTCAAACGGTGAACCTCATTGGGGACGCTTGCTAGAGTTTCAGCAACGCTTGAAGACGCTCTGTTCTGATATCTCTGAGATATGAACAGAAACCTACATTGAAAGTGGCCTTAAAACGAAAAGACTTTTTGAAGTCAGCATATATCTTTCAATGGATATTAAACAAAAACTAATTTTCCCCTTGCCTAATCCTATCAAAATGACTCCCTCCGACAAGCAAAAACCGCCAGATAGTTGTACGCGCCCTGGACATAATATGAGAGATGAGAGGGGAAACGGCGAAGGCCAAGAAAATGTTGATGAGGATGAGGACGAGTGTCTACTTGGAATTTGATTATTGTGGGAGGATAAAGCAAAAGATAAGGAATGTGCGTAGAGATAAGTGAAGTGGAAAGGCTATCAATGTGTCTTTAAAAAGCTGGGTAGACAGGGATGAAATCGTTCACGCTACCAGACTTCTATTTCTTTCCTCGTTTTATGTTGACCCATTAGCACTCACATCTTGAGTTACGATTTTGCTGATAGCAGTGTTTAGCTTGTGTCTTGACCCTCCCGCGCGTGGGAGTAGGGAGGTTTTGAGTCTCCAGTGCTGACGGTGTAAGGAACGATTCCCTGAGGATGATCACAGTCACTTGCTCTCTCCAATAAATACTTTAACAAAGGCTGTGCTTTTTATTCTTTTTTATACGAAGTACTTTGGCTCTCATCTCAGCTCACTCCGGGGGGGCTCTCTTGGCCTAGAGGTTAAGGTATTCGCCTCTCATTCAAAGGTCCCAGGTTCGAATCCGGGTAGTGACGGAAATATTTTCTTCAAACAAATTGCTCTCTAGCAATGTTGTGTCGTCTGCTTTCGCGTCCACTTTCTGCCCCCACCCTTTCACCTCCTTTGCCCCCTCCACTGGGCTCCTGACTCTTTCTGCAGCCGCTCTTCTGCTACTCCTTGGCTCCTCCTTACTCCTGTCTTTCAGCCACACCCCTAATGTTCTGGTAAGAAAGGTCTACACCTAGCTTTCTTGGCCTTCTTGGACATGGGCGAAAAATCTCGAAGGTTTAGTGTGCAAGTTGCGCACGTTATATATCCCTTGGTGGTCTGAAATCGATAAGAGTAGGCTTCGGCCGACACTCGGGCAAACTTCAAATGTTCCTACCAACTGAAAATCCCCTTTTCTCTCTCTCTCTCTCTCTCTCTCTCTCTCTCTCTCTCTCTCTCTCTCTCACTCTCTCTCTCTCCCTCTTTCTCTCTCTTCCTCTTTCTTATATCTATCTATCTATCTATCTATCTATCTATCTATCTATCTATCTATCTATCTATCTATCTATCTATCTATCTATCTATCTATCTATCTATCTATCTATCTATCTATCACCACTCCCGTTCTCTCTAATTCCCCTCTACCCCCCCCCCCTGCAAAAAATCTCACAATTAACCAATTACAATGGAGGAAGATAATGTGCACATATCCAGATATGTACTTTAATAGTTATTGCACGATTGTCTACCACCGCCGAACAGAACACAATTATACAGCTCAGCCTCCACATAAACAGAATGAAACCAGAATTTCCCTCATCATGCCCTCTGTGGGATTACACATTAATGGATCATCACCTGTCCCATTGGACCCCCTTATAGTGACACCAGAGCTACACTGCTCCCTCCGAGACCTAACACTAACAACACAATCTACGGTACGTTACAAACAGCAACTGCAGCAAACCTGCTCTTATCACTACATGGTATTGGACAGAAAGGCTGGAGTACAGCTGCTGTTTGATCGATACGACAACAACAGCAGCACGTTAGTCTCATCTACCAAGTTTTTTTTTTTTAAGACTAACCCATATCCTAAGACAAAAGTATGGGTTAGTACCAACGTGTTCACATCCTTGACATTTATTTATTATGACAACAAGTATGACGTTTCCTCTTCGGGTCGGAACGATAATTGTCAGCTCGCCCCGTCACTCAATGAAGCAGAGGAAGACAGCACTTACTTTATTACCATTACAGGGAAATGGACAACAGCTGATGTATTACTGTATTTCGGGTATTTTTCATCGCGCTACTTGATTCCGTGATTCCCACGATTTTTTTTTTACCGAGAATTCAAACCGTTCTCTAAACGTTTTAAGGGCACAACTGCATTGGAACTTAAATACATACATGACCCTGGGCGACTCACACCTCGATTTTAAAAGGTTTGCGAAACATGAAATGAGCAAAACGCAAAAAGAGCGCGCGAGAAAAAAAAACGGTGTACAGTGTCCATGTATTTTTCTTGATGTTATGTTAGTCCTCAGACCATTGCAAAGGTTAGAAAAATGTGAATGGAAAAAAACAAGTATTATTAATAAGTGTTTCATTGTTGCTAACGACGTACATCTTGCAGGGGTAGGTTTTGTTTTGATACGTGTTTTACGGCCCTAGCAACTGCATAAGGTCATATGAAAGCGAGAGACACATTAAATATTTTCAGTTTGGTAGGAGTTTATTTCGAATTTTGGCCGGGTGGCGGCCGAAGCCTACTTTTTTTTCGATTTTGGACCTCCAAGGGATCTTTAACGTGCGCAACTTGCACTCGGAACCTTCGAGATTTTTTTGCCCTTTTCTGAGAAGGCTTAGTGTTAGATCTTGCCTACTCTAAGATCAGGGTGTGGCTGAAAGACAGCAGTTTTAAGGAGGAGCCAAAGAGTAGCAGTTGAAAGGCTGCATAACGATTCAGGAGTCCAGAGGAGGGGCCAAAGGTGGGAGGGGAGAGGGCGCATAAAGTGGAGACGAATGCAGCCGACAGAATACCGTTAGAGAGCAGGAAAGAAGGTGAAAGGAGAACATTCTAGAGAAGAAAACATTCCGTCGCTGTTAGGTTTCGAACCATGACCTATTGAATGAGAGGCAAAAACCGTAACCTCTAGACCACGAGAGACCCCAGGAGGAGGTATGAAATCAAGATAATAGTATACAAACAATATATTACACTACATGATTGTACTTTGTTAGCATGCATGTGTAGCTTCGTAGCTTCAAGCCACCCCCCCCCCCCCCCCCCCCCCAACTTGTACGCCCTATTTTTCGATTTGGACAAACAAAAGTGTCCTTTCATTGTGCTTTATAATATGCGGGTTTTCCACGACTGTCAGTACAGTTTTATGGAATAGTTAGCTTTCTTAGAATTAATTACAAAGTTCTATGTACTCTGATATTTTTGCCCGTTTTGAGATACTATATAAGACCATGAGGCCAGAAACCAAATGTTCTATCTGCTCAACAGAATCGTAAGATTACTCGGAGTCGTTATCAAGACATTCAAAGAATTTCACATGTTTTGAAATTCAAAAATTGTAACGCCAAATTTCTCAATCCTTAGTACTGAGCAGAGAAAACTTTGTGATTCTGGGGTAGCTATTTACCAAGAAACAATACAGAAGGTCATTTAGCTCAAAGGACACAACTATCAGTCAGGACATCGTGCTGAAGGGAGTGGTATTTCTAGAAAAGAGAGAGAGAGATATGGGCCTAACTTGGCTTCGGACCCAGCGCGCTCACTCGACAAACAACGGCAAAAACAATGGACGGCTCTCCAAACAGATGTAACCACGAAAGTGAGGCCTCTTTGGTAATTATTTCCTTCGAGGTCGATGACCATCACATCGATCTCTCTCGACCTCTCTCTCTCTCTCTCTCTCTCTCTCTCTCTCTCTCTCTCTCTCTCTCTCTCTCTCTCTCTCTCTCCACTTCCTTTTCTCCACCCCGCACACCCATTAATACCAGAACATTTGAGACCGTTTGCCATCACTAAAACAAGCTGCATATTTCGCATGGGTGTTTTTAGAGGTCGGGCCTGACTTTGAACCAGGTCTTTTCAACCCAGAACTGTCAGCTTCTTTCTCTTCCCTTGCATGAAAAGAACCCACGTGACCATCTCTGTTATCGACTAGCCAAACACGAGGACCGGACAGCCTTCAGAAATAAACGCAATGGCTCAGGAAAGAGAAGACCGTCCTCCCTGAAACGACAGGGTTTCTTTTGTAAGTGGGTCGAACTGTCAGTAACTAGTCCATGGACCTTCGAATTACCCAGAGCTAAGCAGAAATGTGGTCGCTCTATCTCTGTGGGCGTAGCACCCTATCTGGGGATTACGTTTGAGTTTTCCAAAGATTGTGGCTGCTTTTTCCTGTCTTGATCTGATCTGGGATAGTGAGTGAATGGAGAAGGCGAGGCTGACACTCTGGTGGCTCTTTTGTGCCCTTAAGTGCCACTAGCTCTGGTTTTGGTCCGTGAATGCAAGAAATCTAGTCAAGCCAGGGACCAAGAGGGAGAGATATCCTAAACAAAAGGTTATCAGTTCGAACCTCAAAAATATTGAAGCCTATTCGGATGCAAGCTCCATTTCTACAGACAGCTACCTTGCGACACCAAACGTTTTGGACAGTAAACACGTCTTGCATTTTGTAAGCGAGCTGGATTGTACATTAAAACGAATAGCAAACAGTTTCAAATGATAGTTTTAGCCCTTTTATTGCTTCATCTAGATCTAGTACTTGTATGTGACTTAATTCATTGCATTCGATTACGCTTCATAACCTTTTTTAACAGGGTACACTAGTAACGTAGTTAGAGGAAAATAAAAATAGTTTTTTGTTTCATGTCAAAGTTTATTTATAGATGTTCCATTAGGCATAGCATAAAAGACGAATGGACCTCATATGAACTGCATAATTGGCTGAGCAAATGAGATAATTTAATTTCTAGGCGGTTACGTCATCAGTTGGACAAAACTACTGGGTTATGAGCATATTCCCCGGAGTCTTCCAAGAACTGTCTACTCAACAAACAGATTTTACTTGGAGATGACGTGAAAAGCTCCAATGAAAACCTCCTATCCCGTGGGTGCTCCAATCATCGCGCACCCATGGGTGAAATAGGAACAAGACGGATGACCTTTATATATTATGAGGTGTGTGCGAGCAAACTAGCTGTCTATCTAGTACTCTTCTGTTTATGTTTACTGTTTGGGTTAGATGGAATAGGTTGAAAACATAAAGAATAGTCGTTTTGAGAGATGTCCCTTTCACAGTTTCTAAAAATGACTATTACAGTACGCACTAAATATACTAATATGTGCACATATATGCCACCATCGACCCTTCTCTACTTCCCTGGCCCCTTCC